AGCGAGTGATTGTGTGTGTGAGTGTGTGGGTAGCATTCTACTTTTCGACTTGGAATGCAACTTCAGAATGCAAGACAGCTTGCCTGCATGTGTGTCTGTCTTTGTGTGTGTGTGTGTGTGAGAGAGAGAGAGAGAGAGAGAGAGAGAGAGCATGCATGTATTTCAATATAATTATGGTGGGAAAGCATCTGCCTCATATTCTGTTTTTTTTTTTTTTTTGTATTTGTAAGGAAGGATATTCCAGAAATCTGACTGGTGTGAATACATGGTTAATTACTAGTGATTTTTGTTATGTTGATGGTCAGTTTCACCCCAGCGTAACACATTTTAAACAAATGAAAATCAACCAAACAAACAACCGGAGTGTATCTCTACAGTGTATATACCAGTCACATCTTTACGCATGAAAAATTTACTCACATTTTATATGGCGGGCCTTTGTAAGTACCCACATAAAAGTAACATAACATTTTTCATATTGTTTGTGTGATGTTAATTTGTTTATTGTCAATAGATGGTTAGCTCTCTTAAAAATTCAAAACATTTTTTGAGATGTTAAAAAGTCCTTGGGGTCTCTCAGACAGAACACGAGGGTTAATGTGAGATAGTGAGAGAAATATAGGAACTGAAATAAAGAGAATCACATGATAATTCACTGCAACAATTACCTGGTCACTCATTACCTTTATTTCATTGATCACAGCGATATTCTCTGAATCCTCCATGTGTCCAGAGTCGTCTGTTCAAACGGAACGAATCTCCAGTCTAACTACAGTAATCACTGAACTGACAGACAGACAATACTGTCTTCTTCCTTCTTCACCTCTGTCTTTCTTCTGATTTCCTTGGTCTCTCTTGCTCTCTTCCTTTTTTCCCTAACCCCCCCTTCTGTCTCTGTCTGACCTTTTAAACAACACACACTCCAGAAATAGTGTAACACTGGTAACACTGGCTCAGACAGACCCACTGAGCAGCTGTTAGTGCTGGTAACCAATACACAACATTACACACACGTAGGAATAAACAGTATTGACGCACATCCAACATACTGTACAGACAAACGTTTATGACAGAAATAGCCTTTAATCTTTTATTTGAATATGAACTGGCTTAATCATTTTGGACCTTATTTGCATACACTCATACACTAAGATCAAATTTACAAAATTGGAGTGGTACACTTTCAGTAGGTACTACCATTTACTAACATGTACACATTAGGTACTAAAATATTACTATATATATATATATATATATATATATACATATAATAAATGATCATAGCCCCCTAATGTTTCCAGTTACTCAGTTTTGTCTCTGACATTCACAAAGAGGGTTTCTTGATGCTATTTTGGGGTTTTATGCCAATGTGATCAAAATAGCAGTTTGAAAATGAAGGTTTTGGACTTCATGTTACGCTTTCACTTTGTACACTTCTTTATCAAAGCAGACTGTGGTTCATTATCTCTGTGGACATGTATAGTTCTTCTTATCCTGTAGAATAACGTCTCCCTCAACACAAAGCAGATGGTTTAAAAATAAACTGCTATCTTTGCTCTCATTCACTCACTGCCCATGATTATCTGTCGTCTTCCTTCACCTCCTTCTCCATCCACTATGTGCTCATCTCTCTGTATGAACACATGTAGCACATGTGGATGTGCATTTCATTGCTCTATTTAATTAAATGATGAGAATTAATAAACATGTCAACCCTTAATTCAAGAAAAAAGTGGTGTTAAAAACACCAAATTTGGTGTTAATATTGGTGAAGCTAAGATGCTATTAATAAATGCTAATATGGTCAATATGCTCAGTCTAATTTGTAGAGGTAATTTTTGATAATTGGTTCTACACTTGGTTGGTTGTAAAAGAACCCCAATCTCCCAAAGAGTAGATGTATGTTCAGATCAGAAGAGGGCGCCAAAAATACATTTACTCTGCAATCACTTCACAACCATTTGAAGTCGCGCTGTAACATTAACACACACACACACACACGTTAGGTTTTTGTGAACTGTGGGGACTTTCCAGACTTTTATACTGACCATTTTCTATCATTAAATGATGATAATTAAATGATGAATTAATAAACATGTCAACCCTTAATTCAAGAAAAAAGTGGTGTTAAAAACACCAAATTTGGTGTTAATATTGGTGAAGCTAAGATGCTATTAATAAATGCTAATATGGTCAATATGCTCAGTCTAATTTGTAGAGGTAATTTTTGATAATTGGTTCTACACTTGGTTGGTTGTAAAAGAACCCCAATCTCCCAAAGAGTAGATGTATGTTCAGATCAGAAGAGGGCGCCAAAAATACATTTACTCTGCAATCACTTCACAACCATTTGAAGTCGCGCTGTAACATTAACACACACACACACACACACGTTAGGTTTTTGTGAACTGTGGGGACTTTCCAGACTTTTATACTGACCATTTTCTATCCCCTAACCCAACCCTAACACTAACCTTTACCCTTACAGAAAACTTGTTTGCATTTTTACACTTTCAGGTAAACATAATTTAGTTAGTATTGTTTATTTTAATGTTTTCCCCTCGTACAAGCCAATCCCCACAATTTAAAAAAAATTCAGGTTTTACTATCCTTGTGAGGTCATTTGGTCCCCATAACTTAGAGAATACCATACACAACAACAACAAAAACAACAACTATTATTATTATTATTACAATTAGCTAAATTAATATTAATAACCGTTTATTTCAATAATCTAACCTCGAGACAAGAAAGCTGGTGTAACATCTTAACATAGGAAACTAGAAGTTTGTCAACATCATAGATGATAATATATATTTGTAACAATCAAATATATTTGTACAAAAGGAAAATGTAACATTATACATTATTGAAAGCTTTCTTCGGAGTTAAGCAGAAAATTACATCAAGCCCAATCATTTTAATATCAAAGTGATGTTATTGAAAGGCTCTAGTGTTAGTGTATATCAAATGATTAAATAAGCGTATGAAGCCAGAGTCAGCAGTTTTCAAGCACAGAACAATATTCTGCAAATGTTTTCTTACAGAAATAGGCAAATTATATGAAGCTTTTTTTAGTTCCTCCAGTTCAGACATCTTCTTACTTGACAACAAACAACTTGTGGGCCTGGAGACGTGTGACTACTTAAATGTGCCTAATTCAATCCTGTTCGTGACGCCACTTTTGCATACTTCAAAGTCATACTCCACCAGCTGCGCTACCCAGCGCTGTTCAACTGCGCCAATATTAGCTGAGTAGAGGTACCGTAACGGGTTATGGTCAGTAATCACAATGAATTTTGAATACATAAGGTATTCTCTAAATTTTTCTGTTTCTCTAAAATTTCTTTAATGCAAGCAGCTCCAACTTCAATGCACTATAGTTTTTGTCATTCTTCTCTGAACCTCTTAGTCCTCTGCTTGTGTACTCCACCACACGCTCAATCCCCGCCTGCTTCTGGCCGAGGACCGCTCCCAGTCCGTGACGACTTCCATCAGTGGTAAGTCTAAAGGGCTCACTGAAGTCGGGATATGCCAGAATTGGTGGGGACATTAAACACCATTTCAACTCGTCCAACGCGGTCTGGCTTTCTTGGCTCCAAGTGACTGTTACTGGGGTCTTGCTTTTCTTTCCTCCACTTACCAGTGCATGTAGTGGTTTGGCAATTTGAGCGAACCTTGGGACAAATCTTCGGTAATAGCTCATAAAACCAAGCACTTGCCTGACTTCTCTCACATTTCTGGGAACTGGCCATGTGTCCAAAGCTTTAACTTTCTCGTCATCCAGTTTTATGCCTTCTGCGGAGATCTGGTGCCCTAAGAACTTTACTTCAGGCCTTAGAAGGAAGCACTTGCTTGGCTTTAACTTCAGACCATATTGTCTTAGCCTGTTAAAGACAAGTTCTAACCTCTCACAGTGGCCTTCAAAATCTCTGGAGAAGATAATGACATCATCCAGATAGACCAGAAGAATGTCGAAGGCCAAGTCACCCAGCACCACACCCATCAGGCGCTGAAAGGTGGCCGGAGCGTTGCACAACCCGAACAGCATCCTGGTCCACTCAAACAGCCCAAATGGGGTGGTGACGGCCGTCTTCTCCCTAGCTTTCTCACTCACAGCCACCTGGAAATACCCAGCAGTCAAACCCAGTTCCCTGGGACACCAGGTTCTGGACATGCCTTTTGACTTCTTGAAATATCTGTGGTGGTACTCTACGATGATGCTGTTTTATCGGTGGTGCTTCGCCAGTAGGGATATCATGCACCCCAGCTGTGGTGTAACCATAATCTCGGTCATGTCTGGAGAAGACATCTCTGTGTTTTGATAACAACTCGACGAGCCTTTCACATTATACTGGTGTGAGACCTTCATAGTTTACTTCAACTGGAACTGTTGGCTGCATGAGTAAGTTCTTATCAGCCTGAACCTGGTCTTCCTTTAATTCTTTGACATTAATTACACCGTCATCTTCCTCCAATTCAAGAACATCCTTTGTGACCCCCTCTTTTGGCTTAAAAACAGAAGCCACTCTAGATCGGGGTGCCATTCTAACGGTCTTTCCACTCAAGTTCAACACACGCACAGGGACCTTTCCACAGTCTGTTTTAGCAAGAACGTGAGCCACTAAGAGTCCTTTCGGCAAACTTGTGCCAGCTGCAGGTTCTACTAGCACATTACTCTTCACCCTAGGTGACACTCCACAGCGGCCCTCAAGTACCTTCTCAGAGTGGGGAGGAATAGTGACAGCTTGTCTTCCAGCAATCTTAACATACCCAATCCTTCCGTCAGGCCCTAGATGTCCCGCTTCCTTCTCAACTCTAGCGAGTACCCTCCGGACTTGAGCTTCATCTCGTGGACTATACTTGTCTACCTTTTCCAACCCCTCCATTGAGATGAACAGAGACTGCACGTCATTGAGTATATTCATACCGATGATCCCAGAAACTCCTTTCATTTCCTTGATGTCAGGACACATACCCAATCCTTCCGTCAGGCCCTAGATGTCCTGCTTCCTTCTCAACTCTAGCAAGTACCCTCCGGACTTGAGCTTCATCTCGCGGACTATACTTGTCTACCTTTTCCATCCCCTCCATTGAGATGAACAGAGACTGCACGTCATTGAGTATATTCATACCGATGATCCCAGACACTCCTTTCATTTCTTTGACGTCGGGACTTGTGTCAGTCAGAACGAATATACACTTCCTAGGAAACACTTTTCCCAGACATTCTACATCAGCCTGTAAGCAACCTAAGACAGGAATGTCTAGTCCATTGGCCGCTGTCAGTTTAACCCAGCATGCAGAGGACAACTTTAGCTTTTGCTCCCCAAAATGCTGTCTGAAGTGTGACTCGGAGATGGTGGACACCTCTGACCCTGTATCTAAGAGGCACTTGGTCTTGACACCGGCTATCTTCACCTCAAAAGCACTATCCTTCAGTTTTTCAGCAGTCTCATCAGCCAGCCATTCTGCTGTGTGACATCTAATCAATGAGGGCCCTGGGCTTTTCTGTACTGCACCTCCCAGGTGTCTTTCTCTGAAACTTCTGCTGACTCCACTATACACTGTGGTGGAGTTGGTCCCCTCCCAGACTTGCCACCTTGTGGAAAATAGCGACTGGTGTGTCCGGGTTCACCACATGAATAACAAATATAACAGCCTTCACTGTCTTTTAATGGTAGTTTCTTTGGACGGCTCTGCCATGGTCCATTCCTTTCTTTTGCATGAACGACTTAATATAATTCCTCTTGACGAGCAGCCATTTTCTGAATTACTTCATGCAACTTCTCTAAAGACAGAGTGGAGGGAGCATCCTGTGCTGCAGCAGCATTTACTACCCCTCTGGCACGGGTACTGGGCCTGACATTAGTAGAAGGCTGTGCTTCCTCCTCTTCTGACCAGGTAATTGCCGCTTGCATCAACTCCACGAAACTCAAATCTGGCTCAGCCTTAATTCTGCGCTTCATCTCTCGACGTAAGAAGTCATCTTTTAGGCCTAGCACCAGTTGCTCTTTCAAAACCTTTTCAGCATCTGCCACTCTAGCTGGCTCTCGGTGCTGAACACGATTAAGTCTTTCCCGAAGGCCATATGCATAGGAACGTATTGTTTCTCCTGTATTCTGAGCACGATCGTAGAAGTCTTTCAGCCTTGTACCAATGGGCACTTTATCTCCATAAGTGTCAAGGAGAACAGTGAAAATGTTGTCAACAGATTCCTCTTTTCCGTCCATCATGAACTTCACTGTGGCTTTGGCCTCATCTTTTAGGTGCTGTTTCACCAGCTCAACCCAGTCCTCAGTGGGCACCCTCATGACTTGAAATGCAGACTTCATTGATGCCACCCATTCTTCAATATTCAGCTCTCCTGGTTTTGATACGCAACCAGTGAAATCAGGGAGCTTCCGGTCTCTAGGGATATAAATGGCAGCTGGGGTCATTTGCGCAGAGGCCTGGCTCTCAATTACCACCTTTGCTAAGAACAGGGCTTCTCTCTGCTCCGCCCTGGATTGGTCAAGTGCCCCTGCCTGCTCAGCAAACCTCCTCTGCATCTCTGCCATCTCTTTTTTTAGTTCCTCCAGTTCAGACATCTTCTTACTTGACAACAAACAACTTGTGGGCCTGGAGACGTGTGACTACTTAAATGTGCCTAATACAATCCTGTTCGTGACGCCACTTTTGTAACGGGGGTATTTAGCCCGTTGTGTAGGGGAAATGGATTACGGCTGCCCTGGAAGTTTGGACAGCGAAAGGATCTTGGGCCCCGCTCCCCAAACTTTTTAGTCTCGTTACACACTAACGTGTGTATGTGGTTTCTTACCTTATTGTGTTGGAACACTACTGATTGACAAGGGTAGGCTTCAGGTATGGTAATGTTACACGGTGGCTTCCCGAAGTGAAATTGCATACATGAGAGTACAGTGTGATATGCTCCTCCCTCCCCAGATCTAATAAAGTAATTGAGACTTCCCCACTCCCTGACAGCTCTCAACAGAAAGGTACACTATAGATAAGTGCAAAAAGGAATTAAACAGAATTTATTATTTTAGATTTTTTTTTCTTATGAATAAGTATTTCTTGTTTGAGTAATCGATTAAATGAAAATCATAAAAAGAATTTACAGTCTTTGTGCTGCCTTTTCAAATTCACACAATCACCTTCGACACAACAGTTGAAAACTTTTCACTTGTGGTATAACAAATCCCTTATAAAACTTCAAAATGAGATCACTTGCAATTTGTAAATTGGTAAACCCACAAATTCTCACCTTTTCAAATG